CACACACACACACACACACATATATATATATATATATATGTGTGTGTACACATTATGTACCAGATATACATTTATGCACATACATATACAGAGATATACAATAGTGAGAGTACACTTATGTGAAAATGTACACACATACAGTATTTTTAAATGCATATTTATGGCTACTAATTATCTCCATATATAAGGCATCATGAGTTTTCTATTTTCCTTATTGTTTATTCATGTTATTTTTTTCAATTTCCTAAGAGTCGAATAGCAATATAGTCTGTGTTTTAATGTATAGGTTGATGCGTGCGTCGGGATGTTTAATGAGCCCTTTTTTCACCTTTGCACAATTGTAGGAGTGTTGTTTTCTGCTTTACCGCTACATCGAATCTTCCCTTATTGCGTTCGGTCACCCGATCAGACACTTCTTCAAAGACAATTACCAAGTCCGTATTTCTAACTCTCAGCGAAATCAATCAATTTTTCATCCACGCACCACGAATATCAGGATGGCTCTACCGCGCTACATTACGCAGCACACAAAGGGTTCGACGGGATGGCTATTCTTTTATTAGACTTCAAGGCAAACGCAAGGTCCCTGACAAAATGGGGCGAGACTCCCTTGCACTACGCCGTGAAGCACGGGAATGTGGGTGTTGCAACGGTCCTGCTCGAGTTTGGAGCGGATCCGAACGATCGTGACAATGTATGTCGAGATTCAAAACCCAAATCTGCACAAAGCTTGTGACAGTATTGAGATATTTCAATGTAGCCAGATCTCTATATTTTAGGCGTGTGGGCTCCATCTTGGGGTGTATTTGCTTTGCACTTAAAACACGTACATTGCGTTGTTTTGTCGTCTAATGTACAATTTTAGGACTACGCGAATATTCTCACGCGAGAATGTATCGCTATTGGCGTGTATGGCTAGAACAACGTATATAAATCAGCTTGTTGCCATCAACGGCATGTCATCTGGATACCGCAACATCTAACTATTCACGGTACATTCTCATACATGCAAACTTGTCGCTCAAGCTTATACACGTACACTCTCATGGGTCCGATCATATTTGGAGACAATGGTGGTTTCTTGTCGTACACGTACGTAAGCAGACAATGGCGGTTCCTTGTTTTGCACGTATGTTATTATTTTATCGAATCGGAATATATATATATGTATATATATATATATATATATGATACTTGCG